TCATTTGATTGTGTGTTTGCTTGTTCTATTCCTCTCCGAACATGAGACATGTGCATGTGAGCAAACGTACATACACACACACACACACACACACACACACACACACACACACACACACACACACACACACACACACACAAACGCACACACACACAGAGGGGGAAAAAGAGAGAGGTGGGAGAAAGGAGGGAGAGAGAGAGAGAGAGAGAGAGAGAGAGAGAGAGAGAGAGAGAGAGAGAGAGAGAAATAAAGGAATGTAAGATTCGTAGAACTCACAATTAATTAGAAACGAGAAAAAAAGAAAACGTCTAGCAATAACATTTACAGAATTGACAGTCAAAAAAAATAAATTTATAAATATAGGCCTAAACATCAATTCGATACAGAAATGAAGTTAGGATAGAAGAAAATAAATTTTTAAAAGCCTCACAAAAAAAGTATAAGAAGAAACACAAAAGAAGATCAGTCTGTACCTTGAATGGGGAGGCGCTGGGAGCTGGACGCTCTTCAGAATGAGAATCGGGCTCAAAATCATCCTCATACGAGTCGTCAGTGGTGGCACCTTTGCTGTTGTTGTTGTTGTTGTTGTTGGGTTCTACAGCGGTTGAATCCATTGTGAAATCTGAAAGTGAGAGCGAAGGTTTAAAAAAATAATATATTGATATAAATAATAAATGAACTACTTTTATACACACACACGACCCTCTCTCTCACTCTCTCTCTCTCCCTCTCTCTCTCTCTCTCTCTCTCTCTCTCTCTCTCTCTCTCACACACACACACACACACACACTGTCTCTCACTCTTTTACAGTTAACACACCATAATTATCTATATATCTATCTATCTACCTACCTATCTCTCTGTCTGTCTGTCTGTCTGTCTGTCTGTCTGTCTGTCTGTCTGTCTGTCTGTCTGTCGGTCGGTCCATCTGTCGGTCGGTCGGTCGATCGGTCGGTCGGTCGTTCGGTCTATCTCGTCTCTCTCCAACTTGAACATGCGCATGCCAGCTCGCGCGCGCGCACGCACACACACACACACACACACACACACACACACACACACACACGAACACGCACACACAAACACACACACACACGAACACACGAACACACACACACACACACACACACACACACACACACACACACACACACAAACATACATACACAACGTACACCATCGACCGTCTTTTTCGAGCAAGGCGAAGCTAGGGCGCAATAAATTATTGATTTCAATTCCACGGTAGACGTCCGGTCTCTTGACGCTACATATATCAAGTTTCGTGGAAAACAAAAATAACCTCAATACAATTCTTCTTACACGTAATAAATGTCTCAACTCAAACAGACCCGGTACAAAGAGAAGGAATCCGAGACAACTGCCGTAATATCCCAGCTCATTTTAGTAAGATCTACAATAGACATTCAGTCTTGTTCACAGCGACTCAACACAACGCCGAAAGATAAGCGCGTGACACGAGGGAAACGAGATCAAACGACGCTCTCGAAATCGAAAATATCACAGGGTAACCATAACTACCACTGTAAATAAACATAATATTAAGACGGTGAGGGGAAACGCCCACGACACTGCTCGAAGCTCGTTCGTGCTAATGACTATAAGCTGGGTGGTGTTAACTAGTGCTGTCCCTTGCTGTGTCATCAAAAAGCTGATGTTCTGCTGCCAAATTTGGAGAGGCTGTTTCATGTTTCTTTAATAGACCTCTCCTGTTTTTACGTAAACCGCTTTCTGGTTTGGGCAATGCACGGTGACATTTTGGGAACTCGAACAATGACGAACACGCTCTAAGGGACACGAAAAGGTATCACCAGCTTTATTGATAGAGAGGATGAATTAATCAGGGATGAGGATTTGAGATAAAATACATGTATTACAAAGAAAAATAAACCATTCTTTTTCCTCCTCACGAGCAGCATTATCTCCCCCCCCCCCCCCCCCCCACACACACACACACCCTTAACACAAAAAAACAACAACAACAAACAAACGAATTTAAAAAAAAACAACAAAAAAAACCCCGATTTTAATCTCGTCAAAACCATATATGACTGTTCCCATGTATGTGAAACAAGAACAGGCGTATTCAGCCAGAGCTTCCATATGTGAACAAAGGGCTGTTGTTATCTATAGGCCTTGCTATGGTGCAGCAACAGACACAATGCGCGGGCGCACCGGCTTCAGTTTGTCGGATTGCAATATTGATATTATCATAGGCTTTCACCACTCCCCCTCTCTCCCTCACTTTCCCCTCTCTCTCCCTACTTTCCTCCCCCCCTCACCCCCCTCTCTCTCTCCTTCTCTGCCATAAGGCAACGACTCTGCAAAATTTTGGGCAAAATCAGTCTTTTCATCCCAGATGTCACAGACAGTTGCAAATCAAGGGTCTGAATTGGGAGCAACGTCAGTTTTCTTCAGCTGCTGTTTCATGGGATTTCACATACCTGTAGGATTTATATCGGGTTCACATATCTGT